TGCTTTAAACTAATATGAAATGCGAAAGTCTGTAACATTATCGCGATTCAATAGCTGAACCAATTTTGATACATTTTGGTATAGACCAAAACGGGAACTACTTACTGTATTAGTTGTTTATTATTCGATGGCAAATATTTTGTTCTACTTGTATGAGTGGGCACAAAGGGCCATAAGATTTCCATTCCATCAAAAAAGGCTTCTAAACGAAGATGAAAGGATTTGAAATATGGTATGTTACATAAAGTAATTTAACAAAGTAATCTTATTATTATTCCTGAAATAAGTGTTTTTAGCAGTTCTGCCAACCAATTTGTGCAAATTGGATTTCGAATTACGCCTTGTCTGGTTTATATCGTAGTGATATTTCGTACAACCCTTGCCATTAGCAATAAGACCTTTTCATCGATAAATGTCACAACAACGCCTCTTGTTGTTTCTTTTGTCCGCCAATTTCTCTTTGTCTATGCCACGTTCCGAGACATCAGTCACTTGTGGGTCTAGTGGCCATAGTTTTTTAATTTGTTTATGCCTCCCGTTAGGGTTGTCTGGGAATTAAACAAGACGGATGTACGTAGGCTTTTAGCCCGTGGAACCCTAAGCAGGCCTGGCTCACTCCGCGCGGTACATCCGATAATTACCTACAGCGAAGCGCCCCGGCGGGTATTATATCAGTCGAGTGTCACGCGCGCGCTCGTCAGGACGCTGGCGCGTGGCGTGCGTTGTAGTAGTATGATTATTATTCTATGATCGAAGTATTATTTAAAAATGGACATAAAGAGAAAGAAATATTGTGCGGCGTTCGGGTGTTTAAACGAAAAGTAATCTACCGGATTTATCTTTTTTTTTTCGCTTTCCAAAGATGCTAAAAGGTATGTTGGCCATGTAGGTAATCAATAATTCTTAGGATAGTATAGGAACCTAACCTACTATGAAGGATTTCCATAATGAATGCATACTTACCTACATACGTACCTCATTACAAATAAGTAGATTAATTATTTTTTCACTAGACAGCAACCCTAACAGCGTAAGAAGAGTTCAGAGGCACGCGATAGAAAGAGACAAAACTTGTAGGTGAATAAAATTGTAGGTACGTAGTGCTGTGCGAGCTGAATTCCACTGTATCGCGTCTTAGCAAGACTCGCATTTATTTAAATCGTCTTGCGGAGTAATCCTTCTGTACCTGTACTATTACTTATTCTGTGCCCTAAGCGCGTTTATGCGCAAATTGTCAAGCGGTCGCAATGTGCCAGATTCTCACTTTGTCAAATTCGCAAATTGACAAATTTCTAATGTCTTTGTCTAATCTTGAAGGGTTAGAACGCCCACTAAATTCCTAAAATTTTCAGTTTTCCAATTTCAAAATAGCCTTAATTAAATTGAAAAAAAAAACCAGATTTGAGACTGTTCTTCACAAATTGTCATTATTAATGTAGATTTAAAATAAATTGGTTACGCAATATACAAAAGCAATAAGAACCACCATAAAGATGTCGCCCAGTAACCTGAATAACTCAAGACGGTGACGAGACTTGACGGTGTCAAGAGCAAACCAATTAATTTTGGGTGTGCTACTTAACAGCTGACGACGACCTATTTAGCTATCTATTGTTAATGGTATAAGTAGGAACGACATAGCGATATTTTCTTTTGTTAAAAAATGCTATAACAACTCCATGATAATTATGATTATTCAATTAACCCATATGCATGCAATCATTAATTATTATAACAACAAATGGCATATTCATTTCTAGTGCCTGATCTATCCTAGGCTGCGACACTAGACATTAGAAAGAAATATGTGGATAAGAAAATGTAAACCATGAAACAAAATGAAGATGGAAAAATTGATATCAAAACATTCTACCTTAGATATTTCTAGCGTTCATGATATTAAAATTGATTTGATTTGTTAAAGAGACACAAAATTTTGATTTAAAATATTCTGTTAAAACATTGCAAAAAATGTTTAAGTACCTACTGTAAATAAGGAAGCTACATTACCTGATGGATAATCTTTACTTACGCAAATGTCAACGGTATTACATTGATAGCCGCAATCACACCGCATTCTTATCATTATCATATTTATATCATTCGTTAGTAAATAGAGATAAATAGATCGCTCGTTGATGCGATAATAGGCCTTAGATAGATGTAATAAGGATGAATTCCTGGATGGTGTATGGCTTCAGAACAGTTTCTAGGTTTGCAGACTTTGCAGTACACCGCCGCATCTGCGTTGTAGGAAACGTCTGGGCGGCGGACAGTGATATATTAAAAACGGACACCTAAAAATTTTCAACTGTTTTTTTTCTAAGTTGCCAGTGCATATTTTTTTATTAACATGTGACGTTTGTTTTTTTAATGCGTCTACTATCTTGTAGTAAATAATGTTTCTCTGAACTACTTACTAAAAGTGCTTTTTTTGCATTTAGAATAAAACCTTGAAGTTTTAACGTTGCGTTCATTTGTAATAAAAAATTGCATTCGTAAATAATGCAATTTTTATACTTGAAAAGGCATTGACTTTCGTATTTGACCAAGTACAGTGTCGGGAAATACCTAAGTTTTTTTATTGAAACCGGTAGTAGGAACTTAACTGAAATTATGCTATTTATTTTCAATCATAAAATCCCAAATGCCGTAGAAAACTTACATACATTTCAAATAATATAAATCCGGGAGCTCTACTTGCAAAGTACTTACATTTATTATGATTACCAGATGACTAGTTCCGCGATTAATTATGCAAAACGTGTAATGCAATGCGAGTATCGATTTATCTAAGTAGATAGATGGTGATAGGACATTCTTACTTCTAACGGATATATTTTTCCAATCATTGTTAGCTGCAATAAATACTGGGAATTGTTTATCAGTTAACATCGATTTTGGATGTGAACTGAAAGCTGAAATAATAACTGGGAAATTTTATCAGTTAACATTGGTTTTGGATGTTAGCTGATAAGAATTCCCAGTATTTATTTCAGCTTTCAATTACAGTCGATATATATTTTCCCTAAATTACAGTTTGTTGGTACGCCGTACGTTACAATTTTCCCAAAGAGGCAGATGATTTTAAACTAAATATTGTGTTCAATATACGAAACTAAAACATTAAAATCGTCACAAAGTAAAAAATAAAAAGATTTAATTTTGTTTTTGTGATAGTTACGTGAAAGTGCTTAATAAATCAACGTTATCAGAACTGATAAGATCATATCGTGAATTTGACAATATTGTGACCAAATTAGTCTTCCATACCAAAGGAAAACCAAAGAAAAAAGTGTGAAATTGTTGGAAAGTGCTCTCTAGTGTCTGATAGTCTAGTGGGTGATAGTCTAGTGTGTGATAGTTAGTGTGATAGTAAAAAATGGATTTAGTAAAGTTGGCGCTGGTCCCCATAACTTTGACCATTGGACTCACGTTCCTGAATGTTAAAAAGTAAGTTTAGACTTTGTAGGATAGTGAGCTTTATTTAACGCTTAGTTAAAGTATATTATTTGTTTTTTAGGTATTTTTTAATACTATTGTAAACACTAGACTCTATAGGCTATTATTATAAAACAATGCTCCCATTCAGTCTCAATAATAGATTCTGTATCATTTGGTCCAGTTACATATTGATCAACCAGAGGGCCCCAATCTATATTTGAAGTGCATTCGAATTTTGAGCTTCGTTCTGTAATACACACCTTTATAGACAAAATTATTCAAATCCAATTGATTTAAAAACATTATTAAGTTATCACATTTCTTCTTTGATTTGCACGTCCTATTCGCCAAAAGCATAGTCAAAAATTCAATCTTCCTTTGACTTCGACAAATACGTCTGAATCACAAACAGAACTTTCAAATATTAACTACCTGTACAAACTGAATTCAATCTTTCGACTCGTGCAGTATTTCCGACTTTATTTACAGTTATATTTCCTTTCCTGCGATATGTATAGGTAGGTAGATAGTACTTGTGTATTTTAATTAGCTGAGTTTGGGACTGCTATCGGAATGGTATTTTTAATGAGTGCTATTGAAATGCACCTGCAAATGGTATTGCAATGGTTCTGAAAACTCTAGAACTTTGGTAGTACTATACCTGCAGTTTATCTGTAGGAACTATTCTATAATTATTTTTATCTATCTTAAACATATTTTTTTTCTGTATTTCATTTCATTTGTATTTAGGGTTTATAACTCGTAACAGGTATTTACTAGTATAATTTTTTCATAATATTTTCCTGTATTTACCTAAGGTTGGTTTTACACGCATTGACCCTACATATGACTATAATTATGTTTCAACTCCATAATATCCTTCCTTCTTAAGAATAGCGCCATTATCTGTAACCTTTGTAAAGTATAGGTATATCGTAATTATAGCGAACATGCATGTAATGCTGCAAGCTGCATCGACCCTTATGATTACTTTATGGAATTGCACTTTCCATCAGTTTGCTGTTTCAGTTATTCAATAAGGTTTCCTTTGCTATTTTTAGCTACGCAAACGTAGTCGTTTCAATTCCATTAAATTAACCTGGCATTTGCTCATGTTTTACGTTTCAGTAGACGATGTTCGTTAAAATACTGTCAAATCTAAATGCTGGAAAAATTTCGCTTGTTTCAGGTGTTTTCTTCTACATACATACCTTTGTAGTAACATCCATCTCAATTTATCCGTAAAAGTTTGTACACATCATAAAATCAGTTATTGTAAAATCTGTCAACATGTTTTGATAAATTACTTTCGATGGTATACTAAAAGTATTCACACTCGCATTTTCCCATGTCTCAAATATTGACTTTTGTTACCTACATAATATTACAAGAGGAAGAGGTACACGTTAACAACTGTACTAGTATGAACTGTGTCACAGCTGCCAGCGCCCTCCACCCTGTGTTATACAAATTAGGTTTAAATACAACACACAGGAAACTCCCAAAAAATCCAACCATTTACACATACTGAAGGGTGCTTTTCCTTTGTCCAACAGGAACGCTTACAGTCGAAGAGGTGTACAAGGACCGCGATCAGTTCGCGGGTCTGGTGCGCGAGGTGGCGGCGCCCGACGTCGGTCGGATGGGCATCGAGATCCTGTCGTTCACGATCAAGGACGTGTACGATGACGTGCAGTACCTGGCCAGCTTGGGGAAGGCGCAGACGGCGGTCGTGAAGCGCGACGCCGACGTGGGAGTCGCACAGGCCAACCGGGACGCTGGGATACGAGTACGTAGCTTTTTACTCCGTTTCTTAAGCATCATTTTGCCATGGACACATGCCATTTTGCAAAAGCTTACAGCTGAACAGGTGATGGGTCACCAAGATGGTAAGTGTGCTAGACTTAGGCTGTGTTCTGAAGAGTATCGACTACCGTTCTTACATAATGCAGCTTCCTCACTTTTCCGAAGACCAGACCAAGAAACGTACATAATAATCAGTCACCAAGCTACAAATAAGGATTGCCGCACCCACGGATTTCTAGTACCCTGGAAATTGATGAAACCCTTGCTCTTCGAAGAGTTCACTGTTGTCTTCTGGGCTACGTAAGATAGTAGAATATCTTGGTCAGGACCTTCGTTCACGATCAAGGAAGTGTACGATGACGTGCAGTACCTGGCCAGCTTGGGGAAGGCGCAGACGGCGGTCGTGAAGCGCGACGCCGACGTGGGAGTCGCACAGGCCAACCGGGACGCTGGGATACGAGTATGTAGCACTTATCTCCGTTTCATAAGTATCATTTTGCCATGAACTTAAGATTATCGCTGAGAAAGTGGTGAGTCGCCAAGATAAGTGTGATAGACTTGGGAAGCTTCCTCAGTTTTCCGAAGACCAGAACAAGAAACGTGCATACCTGCCCAGTACATACATTCACTCTGTCATCGTACAGGCCCGCTTCTTGATTGCCTTTTGAACTACTTATTCTTCGACCTATTCTTATATTTATTCTTCTACGTATTGTTGTAGGAAGCGGAGTGCGAGAAGAGTGCGATGGACGTGAAGTACTCCATGGACACCAGGATCGAGGACAACACCAGGCTGTTCAAGCTGCAGAAGGCGCAGTTCGACCAGGAAGTCAATACAGCTGTGAGTACATTCTTCGATGTTTGATTCTTACGCCCGTATTCACAAACATTACTATGAGATCTCACAGTGCGCGTGGACGCACAGGGTGACACACAAACCAATCACAGAACTCTTTTCAACGCTGTGCGTTCCATTTGCTGCTACACTTAAGCAAGCATCGTTTGTGAATACGGGCGTTAGTGCCGTCTTAAAGGTTAAGCCTTTGGTCACAAAGTTTATTTATTTATTGAATGAGAAATTATACATGACGTCAAGTAGTTTACCAGAAATTTTAGCACTGCAATTATGTTAAAATACTTTTTGTTAGTTATTAACGGAACAACTTCTGCAAGCTTGAAACTTGATTTAAAACATAGCAGTAAATGCAACTTCAATTTCCGTTGCATACTGAAAAAATAAATTGTAACCAACTTCCTGTCTATCTTAGCACTTTGTATCGGTCGTTTGAGGTTTTACACTACTTTAATTTATCAGCCAAAAAAAACTTTTTGAGAATCAGATTACTTACATTGAACTGCACTGCAGCAACTAACTGTACTTTATTTGCAATCCGGATATCTTTTTCATTTAAAATCCTCATTTCCAGAAAGCTGAGGCGGCGTTAGCTTACGAATTGCAGGCCGCTAAGATTAAGCAGAAGATCCGAAACGAGGAGATCCAGATCGAGGTGGTGGAACGACGCAAGCAGATTGAGGTAAGGCTGAGTGCAGATTAAAAAGTCTTCATAGACTCTTGAGAAATAGCTTAGTCAATATTACAGCGATTTAGCACGACTCGATTTGGGTTTAAAGGATATTGGGCTGCCCATAAGTTCTTATTTGACTGCGTTTTCTTTGATAGGTGTATCGAGTTAATAAATAAAGTTAATCCAAACATACACAGTGGGGATTGTAAATTGATCGTATCACTGTACACGCTACCACGGTAATACTATCTATACAGTATTCCAACTCGGCCATATTTTTGAAATAAATGTCAACAGTCCCGCGGTACGTCACGGTATGACAACATGCGATAGGGCTGCTCACCTATAGTACCCATTCTAATTACATGTCTACTTAGTTTGTGATTGTAATTTTTTATTTATTTAGATAAACAAAGTACTTTGTGAATGGAATAGGATAAAAATGCGTGTTGTTTTGTGATTAGTAGATTTAATTTTAAAAAATATACTAAAATAATTTTGAATCTACTAATCATAATGAGTACTTAATGACCTGTTACTTTAATTTCAGGCGGGCGAAGTCGTGGGCCAAAGCTGGTTTTATACAATATAATTTTTATTTCAAATCAAACTGACTGAAAATGACCATTTCTGATAGTTAATGACTAGTTTTTGACAAATTTGATCGTTTAAGACGGTCAGTCAAATTCAATCATCTTAGTCATTTTCAACACTAGGCCATCGACGTCCGTTCGGCACATTCGCGACACCCCTAACTTTTGGTTCTCGACCACGTTCCGAGATTTGAAATTCGAAGGAAAGCTCGCGTTTCGTCAGTTTATATGAAGTTACAATACTGTATGATATTATTACCATGACGCTACAGCGAGCAAGCAGTCAGGCGAAGCTGCTACTTTAATTGAAAATTGATTACATTGTCATTTGATAGCAGGAGTGAAGGAAAATATGAGTCGTAGCTTGAAAACGGTCCTACACAAAGAAACAGAAAACAGTAGCTACGCCGTAGCATTTGAGTAAATAATATACTATAGATATTGTGTCATCGAAACCGAATTTAGGAAATAAGAGGGAAAGGCGCATTTTTAATAATATGCTACTATGTACCTATATTTTTCTGCCATTATCTAATTACGTCAATTTACTCGTAATAATTACCTAAATAACCGATGTCGACTTAAGCCTATTTACAGAAATAAATGAGTTTTGTGAGTTTTTTTATTAGATTTTTTATGAGTTTTTTAGTGCGTAAAACTTATTTAACCCTTTATTCGGCAGTGGGAATATAGTTCCCATCATATTTTGAACTTTATTCCCTTTTCGTACAAAGAAAAATGAATATTCCAACTGCCGTATAAAGGGTTAAATTTTTTAAATAATCTTACTTACTAAAAGCGTGGTCCGTGAGCACGTAGAATTTTGGCCAATGACCCCAAGCTACCCATCCAAAGACAAAATTCTACGTGCTCACCGACCAGGCTTTAGCTTAGCTTATGTTTGTAAAGCTCAATAGTAAAAATAAGTTCGTCGGTAAGAAAAAGATCATCTGTTCTAGACTCTAGTGCTATTTGTGATAGGCGAAGTTTCCTGTAAAATCGCCAATAAGTTATTTCTATCTTCTTCTAAATCGTACAATGTCCTTTTCAGGTAGAGCAACAAGAGATCTTGCGTCGCGAAGAGGAGCTGGTTTCCACCGTTCGCCTGCCGGCCGAAGCGGAGGCCTACCGTCTCCAGGCCATTGCTGAGGGCAAACGGTAACTATACTTCATATACGATCATCGTCATCATCCAACTATGCTATACATCACGTAACATAATATTATGTTTCTCTTTGTCAAGGTATAGGTACTTTTATTTGTGTAGAAAACACTCTACTGTTGATGTGCATCCTTTCAGAGTATGCTTGTAAAAGTACGCATAAAAGCCAACTGGCTAAAAATAAGTTATTTTTAATCTACTGCCTCTTCGCCCTAGCGAGAACACAATACCAAATTGGGTTTCCCGCTTAGGTTTCCCACTAAAAACGTGTCGAGACATTAGATATTTAACTGAATCGCTCGTTCGACACAAATGTATTTTTTTTATTTGGTCTCAGCTTTGTTTGTTGCATTAATGTTTTTATCTGTTCTTTTTCCACAGCACCCAAACGGTAGAAGCCGCGAAGGCCGACGCCGAGCGCATCAAAGTCCTGGGTTTGGCTGAAGCCACGGCCATTGGTGACGTAGGCAAGGCTGACGCCGAACGCATGCTGGCCAAGGCCAAGGTCTACAAGCAGTACGGAGACGCTGCTATCATGGCGCTGGTGCTTGAAGCTCTGCCTAAGGTAGGAACACTTCATTGAACTGTGGAGAAGGTCTTTAATGAAGCAGGTTAGCCACCGCAGAAAAGATTCTGGTCAAGGCCAAAGTCTATATGTAAAGCTGTTTGGAGATTGGAGATGCTGCTATCGCTATTATGGAGCTGATGCTCGAAGCTCTGCCTAAGGTAGGAATACCTACATATATAGTATGAACGGAGATCTTTTTCAAAGCAGGGAGAGCCAACGCTGAGTAGTTATTAAGACTCACTCATACGATAATTGTTCCAAGATTCTGTTATTCGTTCTCAGATCTCAGCAGAGTAGTTGGTACCGATTGTAAAAGAACTTGTGCTTTACTTTGTGACTTCTACGCTTAGTTTGTTCGAAAGTTCCTTTAATTTCTCGCAAATGGCAACGGAGGTAACGGCGCTGCTAGAGCGTGCACGCACGACATCGTATTTTCAACCGACTTCAAAAAAGGAGGAGGTTCTCAATTGGTTCAACCCGTATGTTTTTTTTTTCTGTTTGTTACGCGATAACTCCGCCAATTATGAACCGATTTGAACAAATCTTTTTTCGGCGTATAGGTAATACCTCAAGGGTGGTCCCATTTAAATTTAATAATAGAAAAAACAACCCCCAAGGGTGGAAAATTGGGGATGAACTTTTTTATACGCAATATCTCCGCCTCTCTTGATTATAAATCAATTTGAACGATTATTTTTTTGTTGAATAGGTATTATCAAAAGGGTGGTTTCATGCGAATTTGAAGAAAATATTTCACCACCAAGGGTGGAAAATTGGGGATGAACTTTTTTATACGCAATATTTTTAATTTTTAGTTTTTTTTGTGTTCACGCATTTGAAGTCGGTTTTATTTTTTTTTAAAGTTAATTATTGGGTTTAAAGTTATAGTGACTTCTAAACTACGCTCGTTATTGTGATGTATGATCGTTGTTCAAATGTTTTGTTAACCCCTTACAGATCGCGGCCGAAGTATCGGCCCCTCTAGCCCGTACAGACGAGATAGTCCTGGTAGGCGACTCGGGCGCCACGGGCGAGGTCGCGCGGCTGGCGGGAGGCATCCCGCCCGCGCTCAAGACGCTCACCGGCCTCGACCTCATGCAGGTGCTGAAGCGGCTCCACCCCTCCGGTGAGAAAGACAAATAAGTATGTGCGGGTTGCTTTGTTTATTTTTGTTTTCTTTATTTTGCGCCTTATAGCTGCCTTATGAACATGCGCGTATACATATTATAGCGGGGGGTGACACGGCCTCCCCAGACTACTAATTTGAAGATGATACTCAATATGATGATGATTTAAATTTCAATTTTTTAAGCTACAGAATTTCAACTGTTCACCAGTAAAAGTTTCAGTTTTGTAATTATTTATTTCTTTTTTTTATTATAAAAATAAGGATTCAAAATATCAATTTCTGAAGTTAAAGTAGGTAATCAATTATTATGATGATTGAAAGACTAAACTAGTTGAAAGCGCTAAAATTATTATTTTCAACTGTACTCCTAACACTTACTAATTTAACCCACTATTAATGGGCATAGTTTGTTTCAATTTTTAACCGTTTTTGGACAACACAAGGAAATAAGATTCAAAATGGGAACCGTAATATTTTTTCCATTACCGTATTAAGGGTTAAGAAATCCTTATTGACAGATGTTTTTAATTAGTCTTTTATCAGTCCTTAACACAAATTCTTTTTCTTTTCAGAAGAGTCTCCTCTGGCAGCAACCACGAGCAAGAAGAAGGAAGTTACAGCTTGCTAATCACCTGTCCCCCTCCCACGTAAGCGCTTTGTGCCATATACCTGTCTCGCTTCTCCAGAATATCCCAGAACGGTGTAGTTAATATGAACAATGTTTTAGTCGAGATCCAAATGGATGACTTTTTTATTTTGTGGCATCTCTGTTTTTATGAATTTTTTATTTCTAATTTTGATATACTATGTTTTAGCGCCTATAAACTGATTATTATGAAGTGTACATCAAGTATAAAGTATCGAAGCACAACAAAAATGTCGCATTTACTTTTGAGATTATGTGTCACGACTTGGCAATTCGCATTTGAAACAGCCGATTTATTCGAATTCGAATCGTATCGATTGTCACTTTATCTAGACTCATACAGCTAGATAAATCCAAAATTACTAATAGTGCTGCAGCTAACACTTTATTAGCAGCTCATCTAACATTTTCTCTCAAGTCCCCCATATTAAATGTAGTTTCCTTATTTTTCTTTTGCTTTTTTCTTTCTTTACTAAATGCACAGCAATATTCAGTTTTAGTATCGTTAAGAACAAAAGCGTCGACTCAAATTACTTTTACGTAAACTTAAATAAATACATAATACACTCGACATCAAATAAATCGCACCTCCCGTGACAAGCATTTTCAAACGTATGCATCCCCACTTCCCACCAATATTGGCACCATTCAAAAGCCTAGTTCTAACCTTCATTTTATTAAAGGAAAGGTTTTTACCCCAAAAATGTGTCTTTAGAAGGATCCAGAGTCACTTCTTCAAAAAATAGGTAGTTACGCTTGAGCCAACTTTTATGGCTATAAAACTGTTAAGTTGGGATTAATCGCTATCCATCTGTTAAAGAGGACACGTGAGATCATTATTTGGTTTTATAACCATAAAAATTGGTCTTATTGATCCCACAGGTGGGCCCAAAGTGAGGTATTTTTTCAAGCCACATTTATGGTACATGTTTATCATTTACTAAGAAATTAAATGTGTTTTTCTTTAAGGATATTTATTGGGCTTTCAAATAACACCAATATTGTTGGGGCAACATGATTGTGTCAGAAGAAAATCGTTAAAGTTCGCGTCGCGGAAGGTGCGGTTTATTTGATGTTGAGTGTATATTTCAGTACAAACTAGCTTTATAGTTTGCTGCATTTCATTGCATTGCTAGGATTCACTATTAATTTACAAAGTAATTAATATAAACGTGATAATAAATGTAATGTATTAATATAATACGTATTTTTAATTATTTATGACATGTGTAATGTGTATTTAGAGAAATAGTTAAATAGTTTTTGAAAGTTCAATAAATAGTAGATTACTTTTCATTCTTCGTTATATTAGTAACTTGGAAGTCTGTAATCAACTCAATATTCTTTAGTTAATATATAAATATATACTTAAAAATCCTTTTTGTAATGAAAATGTAATTGACTATTTGAAGGTACTTTATCTATTCTCTATACAAGCGTAGGGTGTTGATATTTTTCAGTGGATATATTAAAGTACAACTGTGCTAGCGTAATTTAGATTTTGTACAACTGTTAGATCTATCCTAGACAAATTCGATGTGTTCTCTGTCAAGGCACTGCCTTTTTGATGTAGATTGTTTGTGGGTTAGTTTTTCGTGTGTCGTACAATCCAGTTGTGAAATATCGTAACCGTACATTTATTCAAACTACACAATTATTCAATTCAATTGTAAGTGATCTACTAGTACAGTCGCTAACACATTCAACTATCTCAAAAAGTAACCTCCAATCTCAAAATCCTCCTGCTAACGACAGTACATGATTTTTCTATCTACTGGTAACAAGTTAAATATTCTGACTGTGATTGTACTTGTGTGAATTAGAGTGCTCGTTGTATTTTTTACCAAAAAATGTATTTCGGTAATAATATCGATTGAAAATTGTTTCTTTGTACTAAAATTGTTTCTTCCTTTTAAATTCTTATTATTTGAATACCATGTGACTTGTAATAATTGCATTATGTAATCCAATTCTTATGATTGTTTTGTAATCTTTTGTTATTTGATAAGTGTGCATAAATGAAAATAAATGTTTATTTTTGAAATAATTACGTCTTTAATTCAGTTATATATGAGACTTAAACTACGAGTATTTATTACATACATAAAATATAGCTACAAATTATGTAAGTAATAAAGTCTTTATTGTGTATGAACAAAGGTTACAAGGGTTCTTATAAATAGGTTACAGGCATCTGTTGGTTTTACCTTTTCAGGCGTTATAGTTACTTATAGGCGTAATTTATTTTGCAAATATTCATGTAGGTACATTATGTAGGTACCTACATAAAGTTAAGAACCATTTTTTTGATGGTTGGGATTATAAAGTTCTCCTCGTATGTTAGTTTTCATCATCTGAAAAAGAACAAAAAAGATATACTTAGAAAACATATAATTTTAATATGAATTAGGTATGAAGCGAGTTCAAAATTTTAATTGTTTTAGGACCTTCAGACAAGGGGATTATGTTAAAAATTTGGTGGGAACTATATTCCCACTGCCTTATTAAGGGTTAACTTTCGTACTACGTTTTTACAAAGTACTTAAGAAAGATATTTAAAAAAAGGACCGCCATTAAAAAAATCTCACCTCTACTTTCTGTTCATAGCTGAGTTCAGTTTTGGAGAGCACATAGCAGAGCTTGGCCCACACAGCTTCAGAAGTCATGTCGAAAGCTGGGACCACGCCACATTCTATCAGCAGCTGCAAAATAAAAAATACTTTGTCAAAGGTTCACTACATCAGCGGTTCCCGAATGGTGGTCCGCGGAACCCTGGGGTTCCGTGGAAAGGCCGCAAGGGTTCCGTAAAAAATTTTATCCCACGTTTCGTGACCGACGTTGTTCGCTCGCACCGACTTGTTTACGCACAAGGGAGGGGCAGGGCGTGCGGGTGGAGTAGTACGGGGGTTCCGCTAGGAAAAGTATAATCAATTAGGGATCCTTGGCAAAAAAAAAGGGAAACCCTGCACTACATCATCTATGGGTTTGGCGATTAACGCAGTTAATGCCTAAGGTGTGGAGCGGCACGGGAGGGTGTTTTTCAGACGTCAAACTTCAGATTAGTATGCTCTGTCATCTGCCCTGGAATAATCGCTTCTTACCAAGCCGCTCTCCTGGTAGATCTCCTTCCGCTTGATGATGATGATGATAATGATGAATAATACTCATAAATGTTTATAATAATGATTTCCTACCAAGACGGTCTCATAAAGCGGCTTCCCTAGCACGGTCCCGTTGATGCACTGGGTACGTTCACCACCAAAACCTCATTCTTCACCGCCCTCTTTTTCTTGGTAGATCTCCTTCCGCGTGATGATGATGATGATAATGATGAATAATACTTGTAATGTTTGTAATAATGGCTTCCTACCAGTCCGGTTTCATAGAGCGGCTTCCCTAGCACTGTCCCGTTGATGCACTGGGTCACGTTCACCACCAAGACTTTTTTCTTCACCGCCCTCTGTATCCTTGGTAGATCTCCTTCCGCTTGATGATGATGATGATAATGATGAATAATACTTATAAGTGTTTGTAATAATGGCTTACTACCAAGCCGGTCTCGTAAAGCAGTCAACGAGCACTTGGTAGATCTCCTTCCTCTTTGTGATTATGATGTTGGTACTGTTGATGATGATATTGATGATGATGATATGATGATAGTGATGAATAATACTTATAAAATAATGTTAGTAATAATTGCTTCCTACCAGCCCGGTTTCGTAGAGTGGCTTCCCGAACACGGTCCCGTTGATGAACTGGGTCACGTTCACCACCAAGACTTTGTTCTTCACCGCTCTCGCTATCTCCTGGTAGATCTCCTTCCGCTCGATGGGGATGATGATGATGATAATGATGATGAATATTACTTAGAAGTATATGTACTGTAATAATGGCTTTCTACCAAGCCGGATTCGAAGAGTGGTTTCCCTAGCACGGTCCCGTTGATGCACTGGACGAAGTCCTATCTCTTGGTAGATATCCTTCCGCTTGATGGGAATGATGATGATGATGATGATGATAATGATGAATAATAATACTTATAAATGTTAGTAATAATGGCTTCCTACCAAACCGGTCTCATAAAGCGGTTTTTATAGCACGGTCCCGTTAATGCACTGGGTACGTTCACCACCAAAAGTTCATTCTTCACCGCCCTCTTTTTCTTGGTAGATCTCCTTCCGCGTGATGATGATGATGATAATGATGAATAATACTTATAAATGTTAGTAATAATGGCTTCCTACCAGCCCGGTTTCGTAGAGTGGCTTCCCGAGCACGGTCCCGTTGATGCACTGGGTCACGTTCACCACCAGGACTTGGTTCTTCACCGCTCTCGCTATCTCCTGGTAGATCTCCTTTCGCTTGATGGGGATGTTGCCGTTGCCATATGTCTCGAGTACCAGACCTACAAGAATAATACTGTCTTAAAACTTGTTTACGTGAAACTTTTTAGAATATTCTTGTTATTTGTTAAAATACAATTGCTTAAAATGTTATTGAGGTTATTAGCGTTTAATGAAATATGAATGTTCATTTAAAAAAATGTAAATTCCTGAATTTTCTTGAAAATCAAAAGTGAAACTCTTTGCCAGCACTCAAGAACCTATTGCCATAACGCCTTGCTTACCTTTAACGGGCAAGTCCGAATTTTTCATTGTTTTTGGACCTTAAGGCAAGGAAATAAAGTTCAAAATATGGTGGGAACTATATTCCCACTGCCGCATAAAGGGTTAAATAGGAGAGAATTCATTCAAGTTACTGGGCTGACCGTGCAGCAGCCCTGATGACCTCCGGCGTGATGGTGACTTTCAGCACGTACACCTTCCGCGACAGCCGATCGTGTATCCGGCACTCGTCCGGCACCGAACCGGGCGCGTGTATTATCATCAGAGCGCCTACCTCTAGCGTCGCCTTACACTCAAGATTCGTGTGGCATCTATAATAGAAGTATATTAAATAGGTGACTGAGACTGACCTTCCATTCCGTCAGCAACAGCCCTGATGACCTCCGGCGTGATAGTGGGGGCTACTTTCAGAACATACACCTTCCTCGACAGCCGGTCGTGTATACGGCACTCGTCCGGCACCGAACCGGGCGCGTGTATCAACATCTTAGGGTCCACCTCAAGGGTCGTCTTGCACTCAGATCCGTGTGTCATCTATAAATGGAAGTATAAAAAATAGGTGACTGACCTTCCATCCCGTTTGCAGCAGCTCTGATGACCTCCGGAGTGATAGTAGGAGCCACTTTCAGCACGTACACCTTCCTCGACAGCCGATCGTGTATCCGGCACTCGTCCGGCACCGAACCGCCTGCATGCAGCAACATCAGAGGGTCCTCGAGGGCAGTGACCATAGTAAGAGTATATTAGATAGATGACTGACCTTCCATCCCATGTGCAGCAGCCCTGATGACCTCCGGCGTGATAGTGGGGGCCACTTTCAGCACGTACACCTTCCTCGACAGCCGATCGTGTATCCGGCACTCATCCGGCACCGAAGCCGGGCGCGTGTATTAACATCAGAGCGGCTACCTCTAGCGTCGCCTTGCACCAAGATCCGTGTGGCATCTATAATGGAAGTTTAAAAAATAGGTGACTGACCTTCCATTCCATCAGCAGCAGCCCTAATGACCTCCGGCGTGATAGTTGGGGCCACTTTTAGCACATAACCTTTCTCGACATTACAGAACCTGGCACGTGTAGCAGCATCAAAGGGCCCACCTCTAGGATCGTCTTGCATTTATTATGACCCGATCCTCCCATAGTTTGTATATTTAATAGGTGACTGACCTTCCATTCCGTCAGCAGCAGCCCTGATGACCTCCGGCGTGATAGTGGGAGCCACTTTCAGCACGTACACCTTCCTCGACAGCCGGTCGTGTATCCGGCACTCGTCCGGCACCGAACCGGGCGCGTGTATTAACATCTTAGGGTCCACCTCAAGGGTCGTCTTGGCTTCCAGCAACGGAGGGTAGTTGGGCGTGTCGAAAGCGTATATCTTTGTGTTGGACACTTTCTTTACTCTGTTACAACAGTGAAGTTTATATTTTAACCCTTATTTTAAAGCTACCCCGGTAGACAAGTGGCAAAAGTTGACAGTTGTAGTTGGCGTTTTTTGTAACTGTCACGTTTTGCCACTTGCCTATGGGGGCACATCGAGACATGTAAGTATCTACTTCGAACCTGTAATAAAACATTTGGATATTTACATTTTGCTTAGCTTTAAACTTTTCACAGTCACAAAGCAGCTAAGAACTAGTAAGGCCCGCCATACACGGACAGCTTGAACCAGCTAGTATCCGACAGCTTTAAGCTGCGACTGCACAGCAAACTACAGACACTACGTACACAAATACACGGAATCGCTCGAGCAGTTACAACTGTTTCCGTAGATTGCTATGCAGTCGCAGCTTGAAGCTGCCGACACTAACTGCTTCAAGCTGTCCGTGTATAGCAGGCCTAACAGATTTTTTAAATTACTACTATTATTACATAGAAATCCTTGGGGAAGGCCTTTGTCCAGCAGTGGACATCATTTGGCTAAAACGAAAGAACTTCTATTATTTTGTCTAGACCAGACTAACCGTGTCCCTCTGAACAGCTTGCAGCCGAAGAAGACGGTGACCTCCGGGATGTGCTGTGTTGCTGCGATGAGAAGGGCACAGAGGAAATTGTTGTTCCCGTCGCTGCGAGGCTGGAAGATTGGCACCTGGGGGAAGCATATAAGTACATAGATCCCGGTAAGAAGTATAAAGTTGTTGATTTTATTTTATTTATTAGTAGGTACAACCATCAAAACACACGCATACAAGAAAATGAATTTTCTTCAAATGGGCGTTTTTAAAGCGCTTTTACACCTTCAAATATAACTTAAACCCTAACCCTTCGGGATAAAGAAGTGGGCCAGTGCTGGGAAGAAGCAATCTCAGTCAGCTTCAGTGGTTTACAATTAGTTTACATTATTATTTTGATATATTAATGCGACCTTTTATTGAGAGTTTCGTTTCCACAGCACACACCAAAGAGACTGTTAAGCATACGCTACCGCTTAAATATTTTTGAAATACGTGACGCATAAAAGTATACTACCGATTTTTAATAAGCTTGAATTGTTGCAGCTTACTCGTATGAGCTAAAACCATATGGAATGTTAATTTCAAAAACTTAATTACTTTAAAATAAACCATCTTATTGTACCTAAATATACATAAGTACATGAGGAGGCTGGGTGTATATAATATGTGTAGGTTTATTTGTGCAATCTAGACTGAGGTCTAGACCCTGTTGTTGGGTTTTCCAGAGCTGGTAATATTATCATTGGGTTTTGCCGCCATCTATTTACTGCTGCTCTTAACACTAGAAAGGCCGCCGTCCCATTTTTGTCCCACTCGCGAGTTTGATCGTCTCTAACTTTTTTATTTTTCAACGAAAGTCCATGAAACTTTTTGACTTTTCCTGATTTATTGAATTTTATCATTTTTTAATGTTTTTGGTAATATAAAATTATTAGAAAATTTATAAAAATCGGTTTTACCTAGAAGCGCCACTGGGTCATTTTTGTCCCACCCTGGTATTTGCAACAATAATTCGATAAAGAGTCCTTGTTTCGAGGAGATACGAGAATGGAGAGGTGAGGAACGTTTAGGTGACTCGTCACAATGCAGAAATGTAAATTTATTGTACTGGTTTTTGCCTGTGACTTCACCTAGTGAGAAATTAAGTGTATCATAGAAAAACCTAATTTCTTGACACTTATCGTTGTTATTTGACCAAACAACTGAATATTATTGTAAATTATAGACTATATATGTTATTCTGAAGTATTAACAATAAAACTGAAAAGTTTTATTAAGATCGGCTTAGTATTTTTTGCTTAAAAAAGTGAAAAAACATCAATCGATCTAACCATGAATCCACACTCACTTAGTTTGTGTTCAAGGCTTATATCCACCCATTCATCCTTCCTATCCGTTCATCGGTTCATCCATCCTTCAATTCATCAATCTTTATTAACTTTTACATTTATAATATTAGTAGGAAGGTGCCCTTTTAGACATGGGCCAGTTCATACATTGTATGATTTGATATATTTTTAAAATGTGTGACTTATATATTTTTTTAAATTAAACGTACATACTTTTCATTGTAACTGGTGGAAAACTTCACTGTGTGTGTACGGATAACAGAAAAATAACCATACCTATAGAAATTCCTAAACACATAGTACACCAGAGAGATAAAAAAAAACCATACAAAAAAACTTTGTGCAAAATGTGCACTATTATTTGTAAGATATTTATTATTCCTTCAAAAATAATAATGAATAGTTAAAGTAGTAATTTCATAATTTTAATACAGTATAACACCATGTAATATGTGACAATTTTTATATGAAACCAAAAATATCTGTCTTTCAATAATTCAAGATTAAAGTTGAATACATTTATATTTTTAAAGAAATAAGTACATATTGATTTAACTACATAGATAAACCATTTTTTAAGGATACTACAAATAGTTTTAACCATAATGTTCATGCCTGAAACTAAAAAATGTTACAAAATATATGCTGGGACAAAATTGACCCAGCGGCGCTTTTAGGGGGGTCGTAATCTTCGGCACTTCTAGTGTTAATGCACAATGATGTTACATTGACCCGATAGTTCTGTCTCTCAGATTAGACCTATAGGTATCTTTAAAATGGAATTGATTTTATGCATAAGGTAACTTTACCAACAAACGCTGATATTAGGTAGATTGATATTTGATAGAACACACTTTATTGTGCTCCGCACAAGACAATAAAAAAAAGAAATTAATGTAAAAGATACGACACAAATGTATTTTGTGAGAATCCGTAGTGGCAACAGTGGCGTAATAGAAGCAGGTTTCTAGTACAGGAGTCTCTACCAATCAATGTATGGTAAAAATAGTTCTATGCTCTCCTTACGTGCTTAGTTGTAACAGGTGTAAAGTGCCAACTAACTTTCTTTGTGAGCGTTTTATCTTTGTGAGCGTTTTAGATAAGCGTACCGAAATCCCGCCCCCCTAAAGTTACAAATGTAACAGTTGTACAGTAAGTACATCGTGTACGTAACGATTTCAAAATCAAAACTGACTTGACTTTGTCTAGGGATGTTGTCACCCATCCTGAAAAGTGAGCACCTACCTGAGCACCAGTGAGCACCACAGTCTTGCCAACGGTCTCCATCATGAAGGACAGCAGCGAAGCGCCATAAGCCGTGGTGTCGGTCCCATGGAGGACTACGAACCCGTCGTAGTCGTGGTAGTATTTCTGTAACACACCCATTCTGTTAAAATATGTTTTTCCACAAAAGTAGGTACCTCTAAAAAGTTTTAAAAAAATACTTTTCCCCAATTTGTTTTCTAAGGGCAAATTTTTCAATCGTCTAATTTTCAAATCAAATCAAATTTCTTTATTTGCGTATTTCTTTATTTTAACTGAAGAATAAGTTTGGTACATTGACAGTTTCAGCATGGGAATTAAAATATGTGAAGATGATTCAGTTAAAAGTTATCCGACGATTGAAAAATCAGGCCTAGGTCTACAGTTTTTAAAAAATATTGCTCAATAACAAACTTTTTCTTTACACACTTTACCTTTATATCGCGCGCCATTTTTATCCAGTCGTCCAGAGTAAAATCGGATGAGTCCTTCAGTTCTTCATATTCGAGAATTTTGTACAACACCTTCAGATCTGTGTCTTTGCCATCTAAAAAGCCAGATATTTTTAGAGTTCCTTATAAAATATGGTACATAACAAGGAAGTAGGTATATTGGACTTGGAAAGTTGGAACTACGTCGCAGATATGTAACCACATGTTCTGCCAATATCAAGTGCTGTAGGAGACACATTAGAAAACTTAAGTATTTAGCTAGGTACACTTTGAAATTCTCTAAAAAGTAAAATATTATTTTAGGTAATTTTATATGTACCTATACGAGTACTTCCTTTTACTAGGATTTACCTTTACCTAAGCCATATTTACCTTGGAGTTAAAATTGTCATGATTTTTACTTTGTGGCCCTACATACATCTAGACCATCTCAAACATATTTTTCAGTGACGCTCTTAGGCTGGGTTGCACCATCTTATTTTGACTTTAACAAACGTCAAAAATCGGTCAAACTCCATAAAAAAAGCACTGGTTATTGTTAAAGTCACGGTCAAAGTCAGTTGGTGCAACTCAGCCTTCGAAATATTTTTTCTATTAAATAGGTAGCATTTTACTAACCTGGCAAAACTAAATATTCTTTATGCTCAGTTCCTTTGAGCTTAGTGCCCCAATAGTCGTTGTCGTGGAGCTGGGGAAGCCGCCTGATCACCTGCTCGATGTTCTTTTGAGGCACCAACACTGTTCCAGAAATAAAAGTAAATTAAGGGCGATACGTTTAGCTCTTACCACCAGCGTCTCATGCGACCACCTAAGTAGTCCGAGTTAAAAGGGTTTTTTCATAGGTTCAATTCAAATTTTATTTTATTTTATTAACCCTCAGGACTCTGTCCCATAAATGGTCTCCATAATTGGATTATTAGGTCGACATCGAAAAGCAATGACAATTTTTAATGTGTGCTCTAGTTTTTTTATAAAGCGTGTGTTTTTCAAAATCTCTGCGTTACTTTCTAAGGATTAATAAAATCAAAAATCAAATCATACGGTTATTACACACGTTACTTATTAGGTACTCGATGCCAAATAATATTCCTATCACTTAAGTGAACTTTTAAAAATACGTTTACGAAATATAAGCAATTTTAAGTAAAAGAATCACTGACCTCCTTTTTCATTTTTCAGCATACCAAAAGTTCCTCCGGTGTAAATTGCGAGCACTTTTTTAGTTACAACCATATTGTTAATTTATTATTATTAATAATTAATATAAATCTCAAAACACTTGATGCTGCGAAGATCTGTTCCACTCTAACGACAAATGAGATTGCATCACTTGTTTATAAACGTTTAAATTTGATATCGCAATTACGTTATCAGTTCTTGTGTTTCTATAAGATCTAAAATGTTTGTTCGTTTGTAGAAAATAAATAAAATTTTCAATCTTTCGGGATAATTTATCGAGTTAAATTCAATCTGGGATTTTGCTAATTGTTAATGAAAATTATACTGTTCTTTACACCCTAAGGGGCATTATTACAAAAAGTTAACCCAGTATGAACATTGGTTTAAAATGTCATTTCCATATTAAATGTTAATGTGAACTAGAGTTTAACTAGACTTTTTGTAATAAGGCGGTAAGGGTCGGTCCCTTCCCTGGGAATAGAAGAAAAAGAGCTTTCACATAGTTTTATAAATAGGTAGGTACTCTCAATTTAATATGAGTTTAGTTTTTTTCAACTAATCGTAATTGAAGCAGTGGAACCGAGGGAAAACACTAGTGTTACACCGTGTGCCTCCCGCTTGCACACGAGATTTGCGCCATGCCATGTGCCGTGTGAATTGACAAAAAACTAGTTGATACTAGCTAGCTACACTTATCTGATTGGAGATTAAATCTATAAATATAATGTGAACTAGCTTTCCGCCCGCGGCTTCGCCCGCGTGGAATTTTGTCTGTCACAGAAAAACTTTATCGCGCGCGTCCCTGTTTCAAAAACCGGGATAAAAACTATCCTATGTTCTTTCCCGGGACTCAAACTATCTCTATGCCAAATTTCATCAAAATCGGTTGCGAGGTTTAAGCGGGAAAGCGTAACAGACAGACAGACAGACAGAGTTACTTTCGCATTTATAATATTAGTTGGGATAAGGCTACCGTAAAAACGTAATCTACCGGGATTTAATTCCTAACCGCACTAAATAAAAGTTTTAAGTCATTAATAGTGTTAATTAGTGCTCAAATTTTATTACTTACTTGAAAATTTAAGAAACATGTCTGTCTATGTATTGTAAAAAAAACATATGCAGTAGGCTCAACATATTTTTTATTTAAATTAATCATCTAAATCACTTTCAATTCACTTGAAGTAAGGGAGCAACTTTCTGTTTTTAATAAGTACCTACTCTATCTATCAGATACATTAGGAATATAGAAAATGGATGTTTGAAATGAAATCTTATTTTTGCCCGACTGCGCCAGGAGGGTCATGTTTTTACCCTATATGGTAAAAAAACATGTCGGAGGTGAAAAAGAAAAGGAAATCTAAGTATCTTTTGATTAGAAAAATCTTTAATAACTTTAAATTAGCCAAATAGGAAACTATTTCTTTATAGCTAGGTAATTTCCTCGTATTTATTAAGAATTTCATGTATATTTATAGGGTAATTTAATAAGGTAGTAATTAATAAAATGAATCAGTAATTATTATATTTATTAAACTTAGGCATAAAACTATGTTAATACTCATATCTATAGCTGTATCTTATTGTTCTTAAACCTTATCTTTTGGCCTTGCCGGTAACAGTTGCTTACTCGTTTTGATGTGACTCCTTGGGAATAATCAATTCAGACGTATCCTACCTAGATTTAGAAATGAAAAATACGTACATATGCCTGTTAAATCTACTGTGGTAGGTAAATAATAATTTCATTGTAGATATATTAAAATCATAATAGAGGAAGTAGATTTACCTGTCTGCATTTATTTTAAGATAATACTATACTTATTAATATTTACATATTTGAACCGTAATAATGTTCGTATTATTTCAAAAGGAAATACATAATTTTCATATTATTTTAATTTTTATTATTGTCTTCATAATACAATGCGCTACCTAAATTGAAAATATGTAAATAGTATTCTACTAAATTCTACTCACGAGCCTTTGGTATCTAAGTATTAAACTACAAACAAAAATAGTCACGCTTAATTTCTAATTTCTAATTACGTAAAAATTTGCGTTACAAAAGTGTGAAATAATTACATAGAACCTAAGCTACATTATTTACCAATTGACTGTTTACCTACTAATTAAATAAATGTCTAAAATATAAAAACTACAACTTCACCAACATTTGTCTATTAACATTTTAATAATTCACTAATTTACTATCAAACACGCTAACCCAGTTAACAAAATCAAAATGCTGAATTCGCGCACGTTCGCCGAATCTGAACCACCTGCATCTGGCTCGGTTGTATCTGGCTCGCTTGTAACTGGCTCGCTTGTATCTGGCTCGCTTGCTTCGGTCTCGCTTTCTACCTCTACCAATGGCGGGTCAGCGTCGAGTCCATCCGTCAAGAAATACCTTCCCCAAACCGCGAAAGAATACAATTCCGCATCTCTATTAATCAAATTCATGGAATACACAGTATTTTCGCCTCTGTTGTCTTCGGTGTAGGAGTAGTATTCTGACTCTAATGGCATGATGGACACGTCTAAAGAGACTGGGAAGTAAGCAGAGTCTCTGGAGGTGACGTTTTGAACTACCACCGGAGTAGGGACCGAAGCGACGATGCTGAGCTCTTCGAATATGGCTGTGGTATTAGCGTTGTAAGCGGGGAATCTGTGAACAAAAGATTTTTTTTATTCACCACGAGGAACCTCTTGGCCTGCATCGCACCTGATGGAAAGTGATGATCAGGCCGAAGGTAGAAGCATGCTTCACAAGGAAACCTCAACCACAGAGGAACTGGCTATCTTAAAGATACCTTTCTGCCGAAACACAACAATGCTATGGCGACAGACTTGGGCAAGATGGTATTAAATCCTTAGTAAATAAAAATAAAAATAAAAAATAATTAATTATCATAGTAAATAGTCCTATGTATTAGCTAATACTAACCTCCTAGCGCAAGTGTCCATAGTGTCGCCAGTGCAAGCCACCACGGAGCAGATCCTCGTCCCGCCGGTGGCCACGCCGCTGTAACTGCGGACTCCTGAAAATGCTGCAGCCCTGTACCTGTAAGTCTGAATAATAACATTATTATGAATTTTCTGTCATTATGCCATTGCCTTTTTTTGTACAGCATCCGTTTATGACGCCTAGCAAGAGTCTTCTAGTCGCAGACCACCGACTTTTAGTTGGCCGATAGTTGGGTCGGGCTGTTAATCAGTATGGACATGTATAGAAGTCTGTAGTCTGTAATTGTATTAAATGCATTTTTACTGAAATGGAAAAACAACTTTGCAATGCAACAAACTCATTAGATTTAACTCTGTGTAGCGTTTTTAAACGTGTACTAATGCAACGAAACTTACTTCAACGCCACTAGCGGGCGTATTCTCCGTCATGTTAATCCTGAAGACGCAAGAGACTTCCCTGTCCACCAGGGTAAACTCCTGGAAGCCTGGTACCAGTCGCCTGGTCACGTGCGATGGGAATGAAGGGTCGCTAATAAGGACCAGGCTATCGTGGTCTTCTGCGGGGTCGTATATGGGTCCAGGGACTTGGAAAGTGACCTGTAAAGAAAAGGGATGTAAAAGATAGTGTTATTATCTACTTACGTAGCATTAAGTTCACATTTTGTACCCTGTTTAGTGTAAAAATAAAAAAGAAATAGTAAAGATTCAAAGAAAACATCTCCAGTTACAATAACCAATGAGTGTGAGTCACAGTCCAATTATTCAATTGTCCTGTTCTCCAACCAAGGACTTCGGAGGTCAGACGGCAATTTTCTCTGGTGTACCTACTTCCTAACCCTATTTACTTTCCGATACGTTGCCATCCATGTCCGACTTTTTTTATCCTGTTTCTTTTTACAGTGAAAAATACAGGGTTACTTTTGATGCATTAATATTACTAGCTTTCCGGAATTTTGTCTGTCACAGAAAAACTTTATCGCGCGCGTCCCTGTTTCAAAACCGGGTTAAAAACTATCTTATGTCCTTTCTCGGGACTCAAACTATCTCTATGCCAAATTTCATCAAAATCGGTTCAGTGGTTTAGGCGTGAAATCAAGACAGACAAAGATACTTTCTCATTTATAATATTAGTATAGAAGTATAGATTATAATAGTTACCTGGCCAGGTACTTTGGGGACTCTAGATACAAGCATCCTGGTGGTTAGAAGACCAGGCATCGTGCTGACCAGAGCACCTGCCTTTCCGGAGTATATGCCTGAACCTGGCGGCGAAACAAACATTAGTACATCATGAAGATTCATGAAGGGGTGTATTATCAAAAGCCACTCGGAACTCTGAATCAAGTTTTTCGAGTTTAAAGGTTGATAAGATCCAGTTGGTTGATGGAACTAGGTATTAAGTATAGTTCCATCATTGGAAAAACGTAATTAATTGCAGTAAAGAATAAATACTAACGCCTATGTCTCACAGTGCGCGGAGACGCACAGGGTGACACACGAACCAATTACAGAACTATATTTAACGCTGTGCGTTCGATTTGCTGCTTCACTTAAACAAGCATCGTTTGTGAATACGGGCGTAAGTGTCAATTTATATGGATATTAAGCTAATCATGCTTACCAGCACTTCCAACCCGGACATTGTTTGCTCCAGATCCAAGAAAGTTGACATCCATGGCGTACGCATACGCCTCCTGGATCTGAACGGCTGAAATCAAAATAACGAAAATACAAACATCTATGATAATTTCTGCAATATTTCGATTCACAAAAAAGTGCTGGTAACCAGAAGACTCGGTAGTCCTCAATGCGACAAGCTGTTGGTCTTATTGACCCCAATATTTTTATGGAAATCAGAGTTACAGGAGCAACGTTCACGAAAAATGAAGAAGTATCAAAAACAAGTAATATATGTACTTACCAGTCAAGTATGGCAGCTCCGAGAACCACATAGTGGGGAAGATGACGTCAGTGATGTTTAACTTCTCAACCAGCTGCAAGGCTGGTACCTGGAACTGCAGGTCGAAGCAGATGTAGTGGCCGAACGTCACGCCGAAGTCTGTCTCGAACACTCCCAAGTCTGGACCCAGGGCCGGCGTCCGAGTGCGCTCGCCGAACAAGTTGATTTTGCGATATCTGAAAAATATTAAAAA